ATGGATGCCAAGATGGCCGTGCCATCCCCACAGTGGGGCCAAGGCCACCCCCTGCTCTTGCAGCTGCCACGTCACTCACAACATCCAAGCAAAGGAAAAAAGCTCCCCGGTTTACAAATTTTATTAGCTGGAGAGTGTACACAGTACTTACAATTGCATCTATTAAAGACCAAAATACACTTGAAAAAATGCATCATATAAAAAAAATTATAAACTTTTAAGTATATACAAACTTTGCCTGACATTACTTTAACCTCAGGACCCTCCCCTGTCCATTCACAAAGAAAAGTTTATTTTTCCCTTCTTTTTAACATGCAGGGCCTTAAACCCATCTAGCATCACTTGAGAACCATTTTTTCCCAAATCCCACTCTTTACACTCATATAAATCTGGTTTTTGAAGGGTTCACTGATTCAGTGCTCTGGGTCATTCAACCACATTTCTCCCCGAGCCTCTTTTATCCTCACCCTTTTACTCTCCCCCGAAGCTTCTGCTCAAGTGTAGCCAATAAACAAAGAATTCTCGTTTAATTACTGGAGAGGTTTGAACTGGACGATGTCTCCAGTTTCACAAATTTCCCCCGGAAAAGAAAGCAGACATTTTTGGTACCGTGGTGTTGACTGGTGACTCCAGCCTCACCAAGTAAACAGGACTTCCAGCAGTGATACACATAACCCAAAACAAAACAATCTGCTCAGAGCACTCAGGCTGTCGCATCATTATTTAAAGCATCAACAATAAGACCTTCTATAACACAAATCATGTCTTCATATACATTCTACAACAACAGATCAGAGAACCTAGATATGAAGGGCTTATTGGGAAACAAGTTCTACCTGTTTAGAAGAAGCTTACAAGTTCTTTAAGAAAAGTAATTACTCATAAAAAAACAAACAAACAAACAAAAAAGAACAAAATAAAAACTATGTCAGAGCAATAACCTTGCTTCTCAAATTTCCAGCTCTCAGAAGGGCTCCCTCAGGACAGAGATTAACCATCAGCTAAAAAGCAGAAGCATCGTGGAGAGGCTCTTACTCCAGCACTAAAATATTCCACCAACAAATGTACAGATGCTCTAAAAAAAATATTTACAATGCTGCTGCAAAGCCAACTAAAGCAAATGTTATTCCCTAAAAGAGCTGCACGTTCCTGAAATGGGGGAGCTCCCAGGAAATGCTGCGTGAGGGTTTCAGGTGCCAACTAAGGAAAATCAGCACCACGCTGGAATTGGGCAAGAATTTAAGGCAGAAGAAACCCAGGGCCCTGACAGTGCCATCAACACCGTGGGCAGAGCACAGACACAGAGCTAAGAATTCAGGAAAATGAACTGGAATCCTTTAGAACGTCCAGCTGCCCAGTTATGAACACCCACCTGCATTTCCTCCTCGTCCTTCCACTGGCCACCTGCTTCCACAGGCAGTCATCCCTAGTATGTGGACAAGCATCCCCTTCCTCCAGGACTGCCTGCAGACAATGTACAATCCAGCATCTCTTCACCTTTCTGCTCCCTCCTCTTGCACTCCCTCACTTCTCCTCCTCTTAGCTTTAGTACCTTTGTTTTATACGAAGTAAATAGAATTTTCAAGGCTCTGTCTTTTGTATGCACAACTGGCTGATTCGTCCCCCACTTTGCCTTTAGCCATAAGCTTCCAGTAACTGAGAAAACATGGGCAGGGAGGGGGAAGAAATAATGTGGGGTTTATTTTTCAAGCTGCATTTACTTCCTCTGTCACTTGAAAACAATCTTCACTGAATTTCACCCAGTCTCAGCCACCCTTGGCTGCTTTGCTCAAAAACCCCCAAACCCCTCACTCTGCAGCTTCACCTTTTCAGGGTCATATTCACCTGGCAATGTTCCCAACCCCAAGTTTCACTGCTGTGATCCAGTTTTAACTGCAGAACAGAAAAACTGACTCCAGCACGCACATGATACACAGAGCAGCTTTAAACTCATTAAAGGTGGGAGTGGACAGGCATGGAATGATGCGAGATCACCTGATAACTGCTTTTGGCTACTGCTCCCATCACCAAATTTCAAAGCAGTAAGAATGGAGCAGGCTGAGAATCTGGAACGAGCTACTGAATTAAAGATAAATCTGTTTTGTGGAGTTGCTCAGCCCAAAGCCAGCTGTAGGTCATGGAGAAGTCCCTTTTTTTAAAACTGAGTTCTCCTCTTTCATTAAGTGCCACTTCTTTTTTTGTTTCAAAGAGAATAACCTATAATAAAGCCTGAAAGGTTCTTCAGTATCTGCCTCCACTTGTTAACAGTCCTTTGGGTACCTCAGGATGGGATGAGCTGCCCCAGCTGCTGCTGTAATGGAACATCCCTCACTCTGCAGAATTGTAGAGTTGATTTGGGCATCAAAAATACCATCATGAAGCTGATCAAGTCTTCTGGAGGAACCCTGCACTCAACTGGCAGGTTAGAAGGAAGATGTAAAACAAAAAATCCTTTGGAAGAGACTCACTTAAAAGTTTAAATCACTTTTATACTCGCATCCAGTTTTCTTCCAAAGCAATAACTACTGGCAATAAACATACAACCCCCCCTCCCCAGAGACTGCTTTTACTAATGAAATCCTTCTCCCCACATCACCCTCTCCCACCTTAGTTCTTGGAACAGACACACAATACACCAAGTCCTGCAGTAATCTTGAGTATTTCTATCATTGACTGATGGCTGAACCTTTCCCCAGGAAGAGCTTGCTGTTTACACATTTACAAGGTGGAGTTGAAAAGAATCCCCTTCAGTTTCTGCCAGGTCCAGAAGTGCAACAACAGGGACCAGTTCAGGGAAACGAAGTCCGAAGGTGTGAGGAGTGGATGGAAATACGTCTCTGCTGGGCAAACACAGTCCTGTGGTGCAGCTGACGAGCTCTCAGACTCCAAACTCCCTGTGCTGGATCAGGAGAGTGCACCAAGGCAGTCTGGAAGTCTGTTTGTTGAGTTAAAATCTCCACCACGCCCCGAACACGTGGTGCTTGTTCTGTAGAAAAGGACAGGCTGTGACACGATGATTGTCCCACTCTGAGACTCGCTGGACACACTGGACAGGCAGGACAGACTGGCAGGAGGGCCGGGAATTCCATCCAGGTGTTTTCCCCCGGCAGCAGCGGTTAGGAGACTCTGATCATCTGTGTCATCGCTTCTTCGTTGGTCTGAGTGGGATCCTGCAGACACAGAACACATCCAGACTTCACTAGTTTTCCATGGAGCAGAGGGAAGCGCACACAGCTCCCAGGAGCAGACACACCCACCCTCCCTTCACACTGACATGTGTCCTATTGTTCCTGGGTTTCACAGGCCACTCTAAGAGACTGGGGCACAGAAATCCTAACAGTTCCCAGGAAGGTGCTGTCTCTGGTAATCAGGAAGACCTATTACTGGCCTGGTATTTGGGAAGGATTCTACTTCAGAATAAGAAATATTCCCTAAAGCCACAGGACTGCTCTAAAGAACTGATCAACAACAGAATCTGCTAATTCTACTCTATTGTGTCCCTTCCTTTGAAACCTGCCTTGCACTTTCTATGCAAATCAATGTGCAGCTGAGAATCAGATATTCACATGTTTTAATTTTCCATCAGATGTAAGATAAGGCATCTCTACCTTGAATTCGTGTCCTAAAAGAACAGTGCTGGTACCTAACCAGAAAGGCTGTTTTACAAACACAGAACGTTTGTGTGAGTTTGCCCTAAGAAATACAAAGTGAATACACTTCTATCCACATTACTGTAATTAATTCCTCAAGGCAAACCTCACTTACTCTCTACAAGCAGCGAGATGGGAGGTTTTTTTTCCAATGCCTGAAACATAAATTCAAAGGCAGAAGGGAACAAGGGTCAACAGCCTCCAAATAACCCCAACAAACCAGTACAAGGCCTGTAAAGAGCAACGTGGAGGACTGAAAGGGGCAGCTGCCCCACACCCAGACAAAAGCCCACTGACCTGCATGTGAGGGCTGTCCTTCTCCTTGGGGGAGAAGAAGCGTCCTCCCTCTCCCCGTTTCCTGGCCATGGCGTGTCGGTGCCGCGACTCGTGCAGGTATTTCTGCAGCAAAGGGAAGGGGGACATGAGTGATCAGCCACAACTCCCAGGGGAAATTCCTGACCTCTGGAAAAGCCTGCCCTGCCCCCATCCATCCCCCTGCCCACAGACAAGGTGTGTACAGGCAACACCCACTGGTAGCCCAGCTCCAATGACACCCCAAAGCATCCAGCCAGCGTGGGATTCTGGGCCTGTCTCACACAACAGACACACCTGCTGTAGCACTAAACAACCCCAGAGTTTTATTCTCACCCTTCTTTCCTTGGGAATTTTTCCCTCTGCTTCCAGCTTAGCCCGTGCCTGCCTCCTCTTGAGGATGCGGTGGTACTGCTTGGCGTTCACGTAGAGGGGCTCCTCCTCCAGCATCTCTGCCCCAGGCAGGGGGATTCTCTGGATGGCTGGGACTGACCCAGCTCCAGGCACCATCTGCATGGAGAAGGTGGGCTTAGTACTTAGACAACACAAAATGAACACTAAAAATATTTAAAAAAAAAAAAAACACAAAACATTAAAATGGAAAGTGTTTGGGTTTTGCTCAGATAATGCAGCTACTGAAATTAAAAGCAGCGATAAAGCTGTTCTCAAACTGCAGAACAAAACAGAACAAGTTAATTACTTATCAGTCCTGCCTGTTTTTTTCTGATAAAAGCAGTATTTCAATAAATTATACAATTCCATGACCATGTTCCTGCTTTTTGTACAGTTAAACAAAACAGGGCATACCAAGTCTTCCCTTTTTTTGGGTTCTCTCTTATTTGAATTACATGCTAATTTCACAGCATTTCTAAGCAAACACTGCAGAGCTGCTGACATCTAGTGGGCACCAACAAAATTCCAGGTAAAGGGCCTCACACTACAAAAGAAACAGGAGCTGGCAGGAAAAACCTCTGTGAACCAGAGACACAAATCCTAAGGGACCCTCGAGAAAATCAATGTCTGACTCTAAACTATTTAAGCCTTAAGGCCTCCCTATCACTCCACACCCTTGAGAAAATCCGGGTAGATCTGTGTAAAGGCACCTGAGATCTCAGCCCTTAAAGACGCCGGTGGGAAGTTTCACACCTACCATGACCATTCCCCCTGAATTGACAACGTTTCCAGCCACTGGCAGTGTCACTGTGACCGTCCCTTGGCCACTGCTGGTGGTGTTGGTGTTGGCTCCCGTCTGGACAATCTGTGCTCCAGCCAGGCTGGCTGCTGGAATGGTGATCATGCCTGTAACAGGGACTGTAACTTTAAGGAAGTAAAACACAAAAGAAAGAAAAAAAAAAAAAGAAAGAAAGAAAAACGAAACAAAAACACGCACACAAAAAGAAGGGAACACCATTAGTCCCACTTCTGTGTTTTTACTCATTCATCCTTCCATAACATGCAGAGCTTCAGGAAAGCATGGAAATTAATAACTCCATTCCACCAGAACTCCTGGGTTTTGCATTTGTACCTGCACAGTAACCCCAGGGTGATGTAGGAGACCATGTGCCTCGAGGCGTAACAGCAAACTGAGGGTTTCTATTCTAACAGCCCTCGCCAAAGACAAGACCCATTTTTTAGGGTTCTGGGGAAGGAACCTCGGAGTGAATTCCTGCAGAACACAAACATCTCCTCCCACATTCACACACCTCCCAGCACTGCAGCTCGGTGTTTGCTTTGACAATGATCACAGGGCACTAAAGAACCCCCCCCGGAGCCACCACTGCCCCCCTGCCCCTCTACCTTGCTGCAGGATGGTGCCGTCGGCGTTCACGGGCTGGTACACGATGGTCTGGCCCTCAGCAGCCTGGGCGACCTGCTGGCCTTGCACTGCTATTTGTTGTTGGGTCTAAACAAAACAAACAACACAGCAACTTTACAGATTGCTTATTTTTTTCCACATTCTACAACTCCTGAATTAACACATGGTGCTTGAGGTGTTCCAGGCACCTGTTTCTGTTGCCTCATTACCAGCATCAAGAAATAGGCTGGAGCACAAGCCAAATAACTGGAGATAAAACACCTGAAGCACATGTGAGATACTTTTTCTAACAGTGCAGTGTTCAATATTGAAAGAACAAATTCTAGGTTTCCTGACTCACTATGAATACACCAAAGGAAGAACTATTCTGCTCCAAAATTTAATTTTGGTCCTAAACAAAAGCATCAGAAACCCCAGGTGTGATTGGACTACTCCACAAAATGGCCCAAGTATGGAATTAGCAATGCTTCATGTTTTCAAAATTCAACAAATAGACAAAAACATCCACGAACCAATAAAATACAGAGACACAATGGATAAAAACATGCAATCTAGTTATTCTGCCCCAGAGTTATGCATGAGAACACTACAGAAACATGACATTTATTCTCAAGTTGCCCTCAATATTAATAATTCCTTTTTTTTTTTTTCCCTTTTTTACTTAACCACATCTTAAGTCATTTGGCAAGTTTCTCTTCCTGTTCCTCTCCAGAAAAGCCTTTCATGCTGGTGCAGTTACCTGTGTCTGGCCAGCAGTAACTGCAGTCTGGGGCTGCTGTATAATGATCTGCTGGGTCTGGCCCTGCTGCCCCTGTACCTGCACAGCCTGCCCACCTTGAATCTGAATCTGACCTGGCTGGACCAACTGAATCTGTGGAAGAAAGAGTCAGAAAGGAACATTAACTATGCCTCTGATTTCTCCCTCCTTGGCCTCAGCATGACCAAGTCATCTCTGAGGATGATTTACCGTTGCACAGAAAAAGAAAGCACCAAGTCTTCTCTTTTTCCATTTTAAAATGAAGAGTTTTAATGGATTCCTCCCTGTGACACATCACCACAGCCACACAGCAGAGGGACCAGCATGCTGTGTCACTGTGCTCCAGCAGTTCTCCACTGCTTACACAATACATCAGTCAGAAGAAATAAATTATTCACATGAAACTGGTAATAATAAGTCAGGTGAAAGAAAAAGAGGACTAAGATTTAAGACATCCGTGGAGTGTTAATCATCCAGCATACAGAAGTACTCTTGGTATATATAAAGTTGTCCTCAGCTTTGCAAAGTCTTTCCATCACCATGAAACACTCTTAGATTAAAAAAGGGAACTGGAATATGGTTTGAAGTTTGTGCTTAAAAACCCAGTTATTGATTTTCCTCTAACAACCAGACTGGAAAATACCTCGCACAAAATATAATGGTTTTCAACAAAAGACATTTTAAATTAACCTCTCAAAACACCAAGACTTGATTTGCCTTCCTGGACTGTGCTGACCTGGATTCCTAAATCCCCTTCTAAATCACCAGGACACTTCCACTGTGCCATGGTTACAGTTCTTCCCTTTGCTTCACAAACAAACACACTTCAACCACCTCTTTAAATTTACAATTATTTCCAGATAATTGTTTCCAAAAAATCCACCTTCTGTACCTTGTACAGTATTGCCTTCTGTGCAGCAGGGATGTTAAATTCCCCTTCAGCCATCACAGAGCAGATGAGCTCAAGCACAGGAGGTATTTTCCAAAGGTTTCCTTCACTTTTTTTTTTTTTTTTTTTTTTTTTTTTTTTTTTTTTTTTTTTTTTTTTTTTTTTTTTTTTTTTTTTTTTTTTTTTTTTTTAAATCCTCTTTCTGAGCCATGAATTGAGCAGGCACCAGATCCCCAAGTACACTGCAAGGGCCAGGTAAAATGAAAAAAAATATCCCAACAAACAAAAAACCTGGGCTAGTGGAAGGTGTCCCTGCCCACGGCAGGGGTGGAACAGGATGGGCTTTAAGGTCCTTTCCAACCCAATTCCACGAGTGTCGAAGAAAACCCCAACCCAACCCAGCTGTATTTCAGTGCACTTCAGCCCAGGGGTTTGCACCGAGCCATAAAGCACAACAGTGGAGTTCACCAGGGCCTGTCCTGGCACTCCTGCCAGGCTCGGTGCCAGACCCCCCTGCCCATAGCGGGCTGGGCCCCGCGGCCGGGGGAGCACCCTGTGTGTCCCCAGCGAGCTGCAGCCAGCCCTGGCTGTTTGACTCACCTGCTGCAGCCCCTGCGTGCCCGACACCGGCACCTGCATGATGGTCTGGCCCTGCCCGCCGGGCACGGCCTGCACCATGATGGGCTGCCCGGTGGAGGTGATGAGCTGCCCGCCGCTCACCTGGACCATCAGCGGCTGCCCCTGCACCTGCACACAACCACAGACAGAGACACAATGAAAAACCCCCCCAGGGATTACCCACGGTGCCCTGGTGGGCACACAAACCCAGCAACAGGCACTGACCTGCCTTCAGAACAGCCTGGCTTGCTAAAGCTTCCTCCAGGACGTGCTCCTGGGTTTAGTAAATTATCTGTTTCTCTTGCGGTCTAATTGCTATAAAGCATGAAAAGCATTACTAGATTTTCAAGCCACGGTAACTCCCTTCATGCACAGCCCAAGAGCAAAGTGGAATAAAAGAAACTCCATTCTCCACATCACAATTACTGATCTTTAATTGGGGTGCCTGTTGAGAGAGCCCTGGATAAGCTGCTCTTACAGGGAGATTCTGCAGTGGCTTCAGCTCTCTCCAATTTCATGCCTACAACATTTCCATTTCCTGACACGGAGCATGTGATGTGCTTAGAGAAACTCTTCATGGTTATTAAGTGAAATTGTAACTGGAGCAACACAAAATGTAGTTCAGTGAGGAAAAGTAAAAGCAGACGAGCAGCAGCCACTTCTGAGCCCAGCAAGGCTTAGAGTGGATTTATAAACATAAATACATATATGAGGGTGGGCAGGCCCTGGCACAGGGTGCCCAGAGAAGCTGTGGCTGCCCCTGGACCCCTGGAAGTGTCCAAGGCCAGGTTGGACGGGGCTTGGAGCAGCCTGGGCTGGTGGAAGGTGTCCCTGCCCAGGGCAGGGGGTGGCACTGGATGGGCTTTGAGGTCCCTTCCAACACAAACCAGGCTGGGATTCTATGGCAAGCTTGGCATGAAAGTCTCTGGTCACTGGGAAAAAGGCCCATGAAAAGAAAAAGGGGGAAAGCTCTCTGTTTAAACACCCTCACCTGCCAAATCCCCGAGTTCCCCAAATATATCTTGGAAAATGGTCTCCTCCACAGCTTAAATGTGAAATGAGTTGTGAAACAGGAAACCACTCACAAGCTGAGTAGTTCAGGAACAGCAACACAACATGGCAGAAGGTCACTGAGTTCCCATGTTTCTCCTTGTGAGTCCCTGGGAGCTGGGACAGGCGGGACAGAGGGAACCTTGCAGGGTTCACACACCTCAGCAGTGCCAACCAGCTGTACCTCAGAGAGGAGTCCTACCCAGACCTGGTGACAGGCCAGCTCAGAGCTGGGACACTGCTGTCCCTCAGCCTGCACAGGTCACATCCACGCCCCTCACCACATCAGCAGGATTTGGTCTGGGTTACAGGGAGGAGCATGCTCATGTCAGCCACAGAGAAGCACAGGCAGCAGCACAATATCCAATAAGCAGAAAGGAAAACGACACATTCCAGGACTTTTGTTAATGAATTAGAGCAAGACAAAATGAAAAAGGGTGGGGAACAGAACAACAACCAGAGGCCACAGTGACCCAAGCAATCCAAGTCAGCCAGCGATTCAGATTTGAACTCTGAACATAAAAAATGCTGTGTTCACTTTGCACCTGGCAAGACCAGTCCAGCTCCTTGGAACTCTCCCGCTCTGAAGAACTCAAAACCAAAGGAATCCAAAAAACTGAGAGCAAAGTGCAGTGCTAAATGCTGTGGCTGCCCAGGGTCTGTCAGCTGCTTTAAGGAGGGTTTGTGAGCCCCTGTAAAGTCTGTGTGAGGGAAGGAAATGGGGTCTGCAGACAGAAAATACTTCACACTGAAGCAAATCCTTCCTTTCCATCTGTGATGTATTTACTGCTTGGATTCCCACTGCTCCTGAGTTGCCCCGTGTTATTCATCTGTAAATAAGAAATTGGATCACTCCATCCCAGAGAGGCCAATATTGTCCCCAGGTGCCCTTTCTACCACAGGAAAAGCTTTCACTCTTCAAGCTCAGGGCTCACCCACCACCTCTGCCTGTCATGTAGTGAAGAACTACAGGACTGCTCACAGGGGAGATCAGAACACTCATCTCCTTGAACTACAGGAAATCTCTGGGGTTTATCTCCACTGCCACTTCCTCATCTGGATGTTTTTTCCCTTGAAGCCCCACTTAACGCCTATTCCCTTTGGGAATCACAGCAGCAGGAATTCCTGAATGCAGCAGGGGTTCTGGGAGACCCCCCTGAAGCTCCAAGGCCATGGAAAACCCCGCCCAGCCCCACAGCATCCAGCACAGGTACTGCTGTTCCAATCCTCCTGTCCCTCCTGCAACCCTGGAACAAACACAGCATTAGATATGTGGCGTGGGGAGGGTCATGCAGTGCTCACAAACACAATCAGAGAGATCACCACTACCTGCAGGGTCTGGACTTGCTGGCCTGAGGCCGATGCCACCTGGGCCTCAGTCTGCAGCTGGACAGCAGTGACACCTCCCTGCTGCTGGGAACAGGAACAGGGAGAGCTTGAAACAGGGAAATGCACAGCTCTGGCACGAGACAACGACGAGGGTGAGCGTAAAATTCATACACACTGCTCTGGGAACATGAGGAACGGGAACGTTTAGCAAACCTACGGGTGGAATTCCAACAGAACTGCACGTGACGCTGACAGGCTTCAACACCCCAGCTCAGTTCACCTACAAAGGACAGGGGGGATTGTCTGGCAGAATTTGAAACCTCCGTTTCAGGATTCTATCCTGCTCAATGCTCCCTTCAGTGCCCAGGTTTCTCACTGTGAAGGGCTGCAGGGTTTGGTCACACTGGTTTGTCACAACAAAGGCCACAAACCCCTTCCTGAAGCACAGCTGGAGCTTCATCTCTGCCCTCTCTGTGTCAGTCTCTGCCCACCACTGACCTTGAAGGACAATCTGGAGAGGCTGCAAGAGCAGTTAGAGCTAAAAGCCTTCTCTATCTTTAGCCTCCTTGGTAAGAGTCCCAAAATAATCTGTGTAACTGTGTTAGCTCTGGGGAGATGAAGGACAGCTCTCTCCTAAGAGCTGTACTGCAGCAGCCTCCTAAAACAGCTTATTTTAGAAAAATATCTCATGTCAAACACAGGCTTTAGGAGCATGTACTGACAGTGAAAGTGCCAATAAAACCAAATAGAACTTCGGTTATCTGCTGGAAGCAGGTATTTGTGATAAACCCTCACATAGAATTTTTTAACCTCAATCAGAACAATCTTGTTCTGACTGAAAAAGGTAGTTAAATGCAATGGAAGAGGCTGGTCCTTACTGAAGCCAAAGCCAAGCAGATCTCACTGAGAACATGATCCAGTGGCTCATCCCTTTGCATGACAAACTACCAAACTCCTCTTGCCTTGAACCAGAACAAACAGAAGATGCAACAGAAGTTCAGCAGCAGCACAACTGATCTGAAAATACATCACTAAATCTGAATGGGGGAAGTTTAACAGTAAAAATCAGTAAGCCCTTAAAACCCCAGGCCTGCTCATCTGCACATTGTAACACGCAGGAACTTCTGTCTGGAAGGGATCAGCTCATCCCAAGCTGCATGGTTTGTTTAATTCCTGTACTGTGTGTTTGTTTTGATCCACCTGCAGTTCTAAAATGAAGAATCTCAATAAAGATTTCTTTTGAGGAAGCTTGGAGGAAGCCTCTGTGGGCTTGAACAAAACCTGTTTCAGTCTGGAGGGGAACCTCCACTGTTCCTGTGGACCACTGCCTGTTACTGCTCACAGTCTGATCCTCCATTTTCAGAGATTTGTTCCTCTCCTCACATGCCCCAGTCTGCCAACTCCCTGCTACACTGACACCTGGACACTTCTACACCTGCAATTGAATTTCACAATTAGTGCATTTTAAACCCCACATCTCCTCTGACCTTCAGCCAGGTCAGATCCCTGAGCAGGTGCCACCGGTCAGGTCAGCACGTGTCCAGGCAGGATCAGTGCCCCTCAGTGCTCCTGTGACCCTCTGGGGACACGAAGGGCGTGTCAGTGAGCACTGACCCCTCCAGCCCCCCCTGCCCCCCTTCCATACCTGCTGCTGGATCTGCCCGGCCTGCACCACGATCTGCTCCGTGGAGCTGCTGCTGTTGGCTGTGTACTGCTCCATGGCCTCACACCACCTGGGGACAGGGAGAGAGCAGCTCGTTATTGTCCCAGGCTGCAGGATCTGGGTTCCTCTCACAGGGGCTGCACAGCAAAGCAAAGCATCTGCTGCCCCGGGGCAGGATCTCACAGGCAGCTTCACCTCCTTCACAACGCTCAGCAAGGAACCAGAGGGGTCAAGTCAAGCACATCTACCCTGGCTGAAGGGCAGAAAGTATCTCAGTTCTGTCCTGATCTTCAGTGCCTCAAACTGGAGCTCAAACCTGTTCCTCCTCCTCTTGGAGTCTGCATGTCCCGGGCTACAGACACCTGCCTGTGGGGGAGTGTCACTGCTAAAGAACCTCCCAAAACACACCATTTGGGTGTAAAACCAAACTTCATTTCAAGAATTCAGCAGAGATAAGTGAAGCTCTCTCCTTCTCCAACTACATACCATTCCTTGTACCCCTTCCTCTGCTCCTATTTTCGCAGAATCATGGAATGGTTTGGGTTGGGAGGGACCTTAGAGCCCACCCAGTTCCACCCCCTCCAATTCAGCCTTGAACACTCCCAGGGATGGGGCAGCCTCACGACCCTCACAGGGGTTAATTCTGCCATAAAGAATTTATATAGTCAAACATATTCCTCATATATTTTGGGAACCACCGGCAGATTTCCCAGCGCCTCCACCCTGTTGCTGCTGCTGGTTCCTCGGCCCTTTCCCTACACACATGAACTGAAATAAAACATCAGCTCCATCACCTCCCTTTCCCTCACGCTGCTGCTCGCAGGATCAGCAAGGGAGGAATTCTTACTGTTACTGTAACGAGGTCTTTGATTCATGTCATGACTGAGCAAGTACCTGCTGCATCAGGGAAAGAAAACACAGCCTGGAACTTTAATTTTCAAAGCTTAAAGCAACAAAGCCCCTCAGGCTCCCTCAGTTTTCCAAGGAATGCTGATAGAATTCAGTCCCAGACTCCCTGGAACAGCTGCTGTTGTTACTGCTGCCGTTTCAGCTCCATCCTTTGCCCATTCACTAACAGTTTCTCACAGCCTGCCAGAATAAAAGAAGGTAAATATTCTTCCTGAAGATGCTGGTGTCTGTCACGGGTCTCATTTCACTTTTGCACTGGATGCTTCATTTCTGCCCCAAATGCCTGTGGGCCTGTCAGAGAGCAGCTCCCACGTTTCCTTCTCCAGGAAGTGTTTCAATATCCAGCACAGGGTGCCAGGACACCGTATTTGCCAGGAGTTCTCTGGTTTCCTTAATGCCACAGCCAATAATGAAGCACAGGCAAACCTCTACTTGGGAATGCCTCATCCCAGCCCCCTGGATCAAGCCTGTCCTCTTTAATTAAAATATCAGGACCACTGTAATCCTAATGCTCTGCACCAGCCATGGCCAAAGTTACAGACCAGATTTTCCACGTGCTGGCTCGTCATCCTCCAAGGGATTATCTCATTCCCTTCATTAAGCACAGAGCAGTCAAGTTAAATTTTAAAGATCGGGGATCCATCAATGGCAGGATGGAGCTCCTCCCTCATGAGCTCACTGGGAACGCACCGGGAATGACTGAGGGTTCCAGCTCCAGGAGCAGACAGTCAGATACACACTAGAAATAAATATATATATATCTCACAGAATAGCCTAAGTTGGAGGGGACCTGATGGGATCATCCAAGTCTAACTCCTGGCCCTGCACACCAACAGTACATATTTATTTATAAATATATATATACACATATATTTGAGGGCACAGAAGCCGCCCCAGTGACAGTCTCCCGGGCAAACCCGCGCGATGCCCAGCCCCGGGACCGGTCCGAACATGTCCCATCCGCGCCGCTGACCGGGCGGGAGTTCCCAGGGCAGAGCTGTGACCCCTGCAAGGGCAGCGCCGCAGGGCACAGGGGTTTCATCCCCGCAGCTTGCTTTGCGCTGCCCGGCAGGACCCCCCGGCACAGCGCGGGGCCCGGGCTGGGTGTCTGAGCCCGGGACGGCCCCGGATTGCGGGAACCGCCGGCCGAGCCCAGGTTCATGCCCCGGCTCTGCTCCCGGAGCCCCCGTGACCGGACCGACCGCAGCCGCGAACCGCCGCGAGCAGGAGGGGGGGGAGGAGCAGGCCGAGCAGGGAGGGGGGGCGGCCCGGGCCCATCTGCCGCCGGGGAGGCTCCGGGAGGCCCCGGGGAGGGCGGGGAGCCGGTGGGGGAGGACGAGCCACCGACTGCCCTGCCCGGCGGCGGAACGGCCGGGCCCCGGTTCGCCGGCAGTCCCGGGGCAGGCGCGCGCTACGCCGGCCCCGCTGCCCCGTCCCGGCGGGCCCCGCTCCCGCGCCGGGAGCCCCGTCCCGCTCCCCCCGCGCTCACCGTGCCGCGCTCCGCTCCGCCCCGCTCTGATTGGCTCCGCCGCGCGGCCCCGCAGCCCAATCAGCGCCCGCACTCGCCCGCCGTGCAAAATGGCGCCCAACCGCGGACAAAGGGGGCGAGGGGCGGTGCCCGCCGCCCAACCCGCGCCCGCGCCCCGCCCGCGCGCTCTCTGCGCCTGCGCGGCAGCGGCGCCGCGCAGGCGCGAGGGGAGCCCCGCCCCGCACTCGCGCGGCAGGGGCGGGCACGACAGGCCCCGCCCCCCGGCGCGGAATGTTCTGGGACGGTACCATAGAGAGGGGTCCGCCCGCGCGCCCAGAGCGGCCCCGCCGCCATGCTGTGTGTGGCAGGATTCGCCATGCTGTGTGTGGCAGGATTCGCCATGCTGTGTGTGGCAGGATTCGCCATGCTGTGTGTGGCAGGATTCGCCATGCTGTGTGTGGCGGTGTCGCCATGCTGTGAGGGGCGGTGTCACCATGCTGTGTGCATCGCCGTGAAGCGGCTCTGTTTCACTGTGGGCTGAGGCTGTACCGCCATGTCCCCATGAGGCGGGACCGCCGTGTGGGGTGAGGAGGGGCCGCCATGTTGTGTGAGGCGGGGCCGCCATGTCGTGTGAGGCGGTGCCGGCAATGCCCCCGTGAGGCGGGGCCGCCCTTGCGGAGCGGCCGGAGCGATGTGGGCGGCGCTGGGCAGGCTCGGCGTGGCGCAGGCCGCGGCCTCGGCCCGGCAGATCGCTGTGCTCAGCGCGGGTGCGGCGCCGGAGGGGGCCTGAGGGGCGGGAGGACGAGAAGGAGGAGGGCGGTAGCAGCAGCCTGGCAGTGCCCGCTGGGCGGTGACCCAGGACCGGTCCCCCCCCATCCCGGCCCGAGCTGTGGGCGCAGCGGGCTCTGCACAGGCCTGCGCAGGTGTCCCGGCCTCCCCTTGGGCTGTTTCACATACAGCAGCTCAGCCTCGCACCCTCTGTACCAGCCTGCTGCCAGTCTTGGAGTTCCTAACAACTGTTTTTCTCTCATCTTTGCAGCTGCAGGAGCCTTCTCCATCCCCCACGTTACCATGGCCACCCACTTCTCCAAGGATCAGGAGGAGAGAGTGCGTAGGAAATGGGTTACTGGGATATTGCTGTGACACATGTCTCCCTGCAATTACAGCTCCAACAGCAGGGCACTGGCTGCGTCCTGCAGCTTTGGGGAGCAAAGTGGCTGCCAGTGCAGAATTTCATGCGCTTTTGTGCTTCTATGAGTGGTGCAGGTGCTGCACAACAGCACAGAGCTCACCTTGGTGCCCAAACATCTGGCACTGACACACTGGTGGTGTGGGGGGTGTGCACCGATCCAGCTGTGCTCTGTCACATAATTCTCCTTGAAAGCTTTGATTCTGTAAAATTACCTGCTGGGCTGGCACATGATGCTCATAAGTGATCTTGTAGTAAGGATAGTTAGTTACCTGAGTAGTGGCTTGTAATTACATGTGTAGGGTTTGTCCCTCTGTAGATCAGGGTTTGTAATTCTGTGTATGGGGTTTGCCATTCTGTATCTGGGGTTCAGAATGCTCTGTGCGGGGTTGGAATCCACGCCAGCTCCTCCGTCAGTGGAGCGCGTCTCGAAGCCTCGCGCTCCTGACCGTCCGGGCTGGGCACGTTCCCTGTGCCCACCTGTGCTCTGTCTCCTCTCTCTGCCGGCCGTGGGGGTGCCCAGCTGCGGGAGGTGAAGGGGGACCTGTTCTCGTGCCCGCCGTCGGACGCGCTGGCGCACTGCATCAGCGAGGACTGCCGCATGGGCGCCGGCATCGCCGTGCTCTTCAAGAAGAAGTTCGGGGGCGTCCAGGAGCTGCTGGATCAGCGTGAGTGCTCTCTGCAGGAGCTGCAGGGAGGGATGGTGCTCCAGGCTGCTCGGGGCTCATGGAGTGGATGTGGGTGTTTTAAAAATACCTTGGTTTCTGCTCACAGAGAAGAAGACGGGGGAGGTGGCTGTTCTGCAGAGAGACGACAGATACATTTACTACCTGGTAAGAGTTGGGATGTCACTGGGGCCCCTCCCTCTAGGTAAACTGTAGTATCCAATATCGTGAAGTCTTTAATATCTGTGGGGTTTTTGGTCATGTTCATGGAATCACGGAATGGTTTGGATTGGAAAGGACCTCAAAGTTCATCCAGTCCCACCCCCTGCCATGGAAGGGACATCTTCCCCTATCCCAAGTTGCTCCAAGCCCCGTCCAACCTGGCCTTGAGCGCTTCCAGGGATGGGGCAGCCACAACTTTCCTGAGCAACCTGTGGATTTTTTCCCAATATCCCATCTGACCCTGTCCTCTTGTCAGTGTAAAGCTATTCCCCCTTGTTCTGTCACTCCAGGCCCTTGTAAAAAAATCTGGGAATGTCGTGGAATATGTTTTATAACAGGCAGTGGTTTGCAGTGGTCATGCCAAAGGCACAGCTGACCTTTTTCATTGTGACACAGATCACAAAGCAGAAGGTTTCCCACAAACCCACCTATGAGACCATGCGGAGGAGTTTGGAAGCCATGAAAGATCACTGCCTGCACAACGGTGTCACGGACATCTCCATGCCCAGGTGAGGGAACCAGCCACTGGGATGTCACTGCTTGGGTGTCTTGTGCCTAGAGGGATGTTTGAGGGATGAATCCTTGCTGTGAAAGAAGAATTCGAGTATCCACCCCCATCCAGCTCCTCTGTTCAATTGGGCAAATGACATTTGCATTTCCCAGTGTGCTTCAGTAACAGCAAAACAAATTCGAGTTGTTTCCTTCTTCTCACTGTGTTCTGTTGGTTTATGGGGAGCTGAGCCAGGGCTGCTCCAAACTGCAGCCGCTCCAAGGGCTGGCTGGGCACAGCATGAGGCCATTCCAGCTCTTTGGGTGTCTTATCTTCCAGGATTGGATGTGGACTTGATGGCCTGGAGTGGGATAAAGTTTCAGCAATCCTTGGGGAAGTGTTTGAGAACACTGACATCAAGATCACAGTTTACAGCCTGTGAGCAGAAGAGTCAAAGAGCCCCTTTCCCCCAGTTTTGGGAGTGGAACCTGTGGACTGCCAAGGGGGACCCGCCTGGGGAGCACATTCTGCGTACGGGGTCACTCACTCGTGTGACGGTGACAGGGGCTCCCAGCAGCAACAAGCTCCAGAGCAGTTAATTTGGGTGTTAATTAGAAGGCGGCAGCGGTGCTGTGGGAACGCTCGGGGTGTTCCCAGCCTGTCCCAGCAGCCACCAGGTGTCACTGGGGCTCCACGCAGCCCCTGCAGCTCCTGGGGAGCGGGACAGCCGCTGCCGCTGGGGGAGTTGGTGGGTTTCTGGTTCGGTTGATGAGCTGCCGCAGGGAGCCCTGTCACTGCCGTTCAGGTTTTGCAATGTCCTACCTGGCACTCGTTCACTTCACCTGTGGTACAGGTCTACCAGTTTAATTTCTCCTTTCTAGCCACAGATAGGCTTTGGTGATTTTGTGTTCACTAAGGATAATGCTGTGATGATAAATAAATAGTGCCCTGCTGTTGGATCAGAGCTCATCCCTGTGGCTGTTCTGGGGGAGAGCTGGGATTGGAGGGAAAGCTGGAATTGTGTAACTACACCTTGGGGGTGTGTTTTCTACAGGAGCTGTACACTTTGTAGTCTGCAGAGCTGAGTTTCCTGAGAATCTGAATGTGGGAATGACTTGTGCCCTGAAAAACTCACAGTGTGCAGTTTGAAATTGGATTTTCACGTTTCTTTGCTCATTGCATTTGTAGTTCAGGTGTTACACGTAGGCTGGAGTTGGTCACCCATAGCAGAAGTAAATCATTAACACACCTGGTTCATCAGATGGTTGGAAAACACCTGATTTTGGAAAGTTCGGTTCTGGAACTGAGCAACTCCCCACAGACTCCCCATTTCCTTCACGTTTGGTTTCCCATCCTCCCACAATAAAAAATCTGGGAGCCTTGCTTGGGCTGGGCCTTGCTCTACATGGAAAATGATCCTGGTCTCCAGTGCTTGTGTGTACTCTGGAAATTTTTTTGGCATATGGTTCTCCCTTCTCAGCTACGAAATATTCCCTTTGTGGCTGTCCTGGGATGTCCTGTCCCACTTGTCAGGTTCAATTTAGGCCCTCTTGCAAGTAGAGAAGAAGGAATAAACAGTGCTTTGGCTTTTGCAGTGACTTCCCATTTTATTTCACTTTGCTTTTCCCAGTTTTATATCCCAAATAACATTGCACAAGGGGAGAAGGTGTTTGATGTGTTTGAAATCAAGTTCTTGGGCTCCATCGCAATTTAAAGCAGAGCTGTTGGCCCTGAATTAAATCACAGCTCTGACTGCTGGGAAAAACAGAGGGAGAAAACCTCTTTTTCACCTTCAATCTCTTTCCCTTTTATGAAGTACAGACTTTCTAATGTATTTCTCTAACATCATCTTTGTTCTAAGATCTTTTCCCATGGAGTATTCCCAGAATGTGATCCCACAGCTTCCCCTGTAGGTCACTGCCATCCCTTTCACCACAGCGTGGGTTTGGTTGGGGCAGGGAGGGGGAGGAACAAAATACACCCAAAAAAATCCCAAACACCAAAGGTCTGTGTTATCGGTTGTGTTCGTAGTCCCACAGGGCTTTGTCTTCCAGAAGCTGGTTCTCCATCCTACTGGAATCAAAGCTTTGGGAAGTGGAGTGTCCCAGGTGTCCAGGTCTGTCACTTCTCTTCATAGATCTCTGAATAGGTCCTGGATGAAGAGACACATATTAAAAGTTTTAAATGCTTTGTATTTCATGGCTTAAATAGGTGACTCTTTAGTAGCCCATCAAAAAACCCAGGGAATTTTGCAATTACAATTGTGATTTCCTTTAATGGTGTTTTTTTAGGGGGTTAGACTCCATGGGGTGAGGAAAATCCCCTTTTCTCTACGTTCCTCTCCCTGTTTCCACCTGTGTCCTCAATATCATCCATGTGGGGAAAACCAGGTGTTCTGGTGGCACTTTGTGACTCAAATACCTTTTAATTCTTTATTCCTGGAGGTGTTTGCTCAGAGGAGAAAAAAGAAAAGCACTAAATATCCTTAGGAATCTGCTGGGGGAGCTCCTGCCATGTTCCTGTCCTGGAAGGGGACAGTTACTGCCAGGGATTATTCTCGGTGTTCAGGTAACCCCAGCCTGGCACATCTGAGTGTCTGCAATTGGCTCTGGGTTGTGACTTAACAGCCTGAACTAAACACGGGAGACGAGTGGCCAGGTGGGAATCCTCACTCACGTGAGCCTCAGTGCAGGATCTCAGCCAGCTTCTCCTCGTAGTACTGGAAGTTCTCCTGAATGTCCTCCCAGGGCACGAACGACTTCGCCTCCTCCCCTTCCTCCTGCTCCACAAAGTTCTGCCACACATACTCAAAGTCTTGAGGCTTCATGATCCTCAGCTTGCAGCCGGCCGCCTTCAGGCTGCGGAGAGCCTCCTGCACGTCGGGCTGGTCCCACATGAAGAGCCGGCCCACCATGATGGTGAGGTGCAGGGCCTTGTTCCTGCGCAGCGTGTCGGCGATGCGCTCGGCGCAGCCCACGCAGGGGCTGGACGACACGTACCAGGTGACGGTGCAGCGCGCGCCGGGCTCGCAGCGGGGCAGGATGGTGTTCAGAAAGGCCATCTCGGCGTGGGCCGCCGCGTGCTCGTCCTCCAGGTAACCCCGGCTCGTCGCCGGCTCCTTGCCCTGCGTCTCCATCACGTAGCACAGGAAGGTCTTGTTCCTGCCGGAGCTGTATTCCACGTTCCTGAACTGGAACTTGAAAAAGATGGCTGGGAGGCGTTCCCTGGGGAGAGGGCAGAGGAGAGAGGTGTCTCAGGGGCAGGTTTAGGGCAGGGTTGGAGCACTGGGTCAGTCCTGGGGGGACCGTGGACAGGTCACTGCATCTCCCTGTACTTGCCTGCGTATTAAAAGGTTTATGTTGTGACTTTGGTTTACTAAAATATCCAAGATCAAACCCAACCTTGCCATGAGAGGGTGTGTTTCCTGCTTTGTATCCTGGACAATGAGTGGTCCTTTGGTTGGCGATTCTTTAATTAGTGATTGAAGGCCAGCTATGGTGACTGACATAAGCCACCCGTTGCCTCGTTCCACAGCACACTCTGTAAGGCCACAATAAGTTGTTTTACTGTAACATCATGTGTTTAAATACCCCAGAGTCACATGGAGCTTCATGCCTGATTTAACTCTGTGACAGCAAAGGGGTTACAGCACTGAGGGGGTTGGGTCTGGGGTTTGATGAGCAGTTGAAGCAGCAGCGACTGCTCTGGGATGGATTGTCTTGGAGATGGATTTAGTCAGGCCTTCCAGATGGATTTTATTGCTTATCTCGGCGTGTGTCTGAGATTATCTGGGATGTTCACCTCAATCTGTGCTCCCAGCAGCATGGAGTATACATCACTCCAATAAATAACTTTGCAATAGAGAATATAAACAATGCTAAGGCAGCCCCTTCCAATGCCTGGCAACCCTTGCCTTGAAGAAATTGCTCCTGAAGTCCAACCTGAGCCTCCCCTGGCACATCTTGAAGCCATTCGTTCCCTCTCCTCCTGTCCCTTGTTCCCTGGGAGCAGAGCCCGGCCCCTCTCGGCTCCCCACTCCTGTCAGGGAGTTGTAAAGACCAAAAATGTCTATGGAAAGTTTCTTTTAAAAATTGTTTGCAGGCACTGAACTCCCACAATACTCTTAATATAAATCATCTGCTGTGACACAACTCACCTGAGGGGATGGGAAGGTAGAAGTGGAAACCTTCATTCTCCAACTGCTCTGAAAAGCATCATTAAATGGTGGGTTTTAGGGATTTCTGAATGCTCAAACCTAATTTATCAAAGTTTTCCCTGACTAGCAGTGTTTTGTCACCTGTTAGATCATATTGAGACAAAAAAATTGAAACTTTGAGGCAGAACCCTCAGTCCGTGGGAATCTCACTGGCTTGGCCAAATAATATGATTTAAGTTGCTGAAATCAGATGGGCTGAGGGAAAGAGCAGCTGCCCAACGTGATCCTGGCACTGTGTGCTGGGCAGGAGAGGGGAAGGAGAACTTCTAATGAGGGGATTGAAATGGGGATTATCTCAACGGTGCTGTAAATGAGCAACAAGAGCCAGGGGGTTATCTATCACTGCTGCAAGGAGCCTCATCTACACCTGGGGAAAGTGTAAATAATGTGTCTACCGTCAGGAAATGCTCCCAGATTACGATTACATCAACCAGGTCTGGGTTCAGCCAAATACCAACAAAAAAAAAATGGGTTAATATTCTTAAAGTGAGTAATTGGCTTCCAGTGCTTCCCTGTAAACTGGGCTCCTCCGAGCTGCGAGAGCAGCCTGAGAACTTGGCTGTGAGTCAGGAGATGCCCCTAATCCCAGGGCTAAAGCTGAAATGCAGCGTAATTGGGTTTAAGTGCTTCCATGGCTGCAGTTGTGTGTTTCCTCATCAGTCACATAACTGCCTTGATTGGCTGAAAATTTGTAAATCATCAGAAAAACCCACGCACAGATCACAGGTCAAGGCCTGTTCTGAACTCTCAGTGTCCCTAAAATGAAAATCTCTGGGGTTTCTGTACCTCTTTCAGCAATTTCTGCTTCACTTCCTCACTCTCACCTTTCCAGGGCAGAAAATCCTGTCAAATCCTCTAACGCTACTGGCATTTCAACCAATAATTTAATTGCAAGATGATGCTGAGAAAGTGTTTTTCAGCCACGATTAGCACAGAGCCTTGGGGTTGGCAAGGAAGTTTGAAGATGCTACTCAGTTCCTCAGCATTTCTAGTTGTAAGTTGGGTGCTCTAAGGCTGAGAAATCCAATGTCCTCAGTGACGTTCATTTTAGTACCTGTTTTAAGTGTTAAGAAGTTGGTCCAGTGGCTTATATCCACAATTTTGGTGCCTTAGCCCCATTCCTAGCAGAGGGATATGCTTTTCTTAAAAGCCACAGCTTTGCAGACATCGATATTTCTATGACTGTGTGACAGAGACCACCCAGGCTCGCTGCTGCTCCACTGCCTTGAAAACTGCCCCTTGTTTTGGAGCCTTTCTGCAGGCTGGGCTTTTCATGGCAGTCAGGCTCCAGCTGTGGCTGTGGAGCCCTGGAAGCTCTGGACCTTCAGATCTCTTGAAATACTTGTCCCTCAGGCCCATCAAGCAAATCAGCCATAGCAGGGGTGTTTTTCCTAATCCACAGGTAGAGAAACTCTCAGACAAGAGCCATTGATCACAGCTAGAAATCAATATTCAGCTCCCTCCATCCTAATACCATCAGCCAGCAATGCAGGACTGCCTGCCCTGGGAGGGAACCAGCACTGCAGAAATAGCCCTGTTGATATAAAACCAGTGGGTTTGTGTGCCTGCCTGGTGTGAATCCACCTTTCACAGCTCAGCAAAACTTTTAACAGAATTCCCCAGTAAATTTGAACCGTATTCAGAAATGTGCTGACAGCAGATGCTGCTTTAATCGCCCACCGTAAGAGCTGAGGCAGAGCCCTTTGAACATCCCCCTTCACTCCCACCCCCATATTTAAATCCGAATCTCCTACCCTGTCACGATTTCAAAGGGTGGCAGGTCTTCCCTCTTCACCTTCTTCTTCTTGCCCTCGCCCTCCTCGGCGTTGTCGGGTTCCCCGTTCTGGGCGTTGCTGGGCTCCTCCTGCTTCTCTGCCATCTTCTGCAGTGCAGTGGGCTTGACCTACAGCCACTGGGAGAGAGAAAGAGCAACTTCTGAGAGCTCTGGGAGTGCAGAGAGGAGGGAAAACAGAGCTGGGAGTTCCTGCCCCAGGCACAGTTGTCAGGAACTAAATATGGAACAAAGCAGCAGCGACAGAGGCTGGTTGGGGTAGGGTGATCCAGGACTCTCGGGTGTCACCTCCTTCCCTTGCTTTCCCCAGCTCCTTTCAACAATCTCTCCTGCTCCCCTTTTAATTTCAAATTAAGTGACAACTTCGCTGTGGGCGGGATAAGCAATGGGTGGAAAATCCTGGAAGCACAAGTGTGTATTTATCCGTTCCTGTGACAGACACCTGGCACAGGGAGACCTGGAGCTTCTCCATCTCCTTCCTCTGCCAGCTGATCCTCTTGCTGACCTTGAAGGACCACTGGTTTGGCTCAGGCACGAGGGGAAAGGCTCGTAGCCATTTGGTTTGCTGAAAAATGCCTGGTTTTGGTGGATTTGGCCACATGGGCCACCAGGCAAAGGAGTGGGAAGTGTGTGGCTGTGCAGGAGTCAGGCTGGAACCAAAGCACATTGGGAATCAACTCTTCAGTATTGTGGGCTCTGCACCTAGCTCAGAACCCACCACCATCAAGATCTGGATTCGTATGAAATATGCAGCTGTATTTGATTGAGTATTCAGTCAGTACTCAGTGGAAATACCACTCTTGGTTTGGGGAGGATAAACTGTATTCCACAGAGATCAAACAGGTGGGAATACCTGCCTTGGGGCCGAAGTCAGCCTTTGTGATCCTGTTATAGTCAGCTTTTTAGAGGCTTTGGAGAAGCCTGCACTATCGCAAAGTGGAATAAATTTATGCAATTGGGCAGATCATTTATTATCCTAGGAAATTAATAATACATTATAATAGATAATTTACAATAGATAATAAATCATTATAGTAGACAATTCTGCTACCTTTTCCAGCCCCCTTGCTATCAGCCTGCCTTTCTGTGCTGAATATCCTTTGGACTTTTCCTCAATGACATCATTCCTGCAGGTTTTGGGATGACTTTCCCTCTGTTTGCTGGTGATGAGGGTTGTTTCTGTGGTGACTGACAGAGCTCAGGGAGTTCTGTGACAACAGCTCGATTTGACGAGTTCCAAGGATTTGACAAGTTCCAAGACATCCTATTCATGGAACATATATCTTTCAGAGTTTTATTTATTTCAAGCTTAAAATACTTTCCTGGAGGGCAGGTGAAGTGTTCTGCCTCCTGCGTGGTAACTACGCTCAAATTCCAGCTCCCCTGTCCCGTTACTGTCACCTCTGACATTTCAGGCGGTGCCTTTGGGAGGGGAATCCTCTCTCAGTGAGTGACAGCTTGTTTCCTTCTAACTCTTCTGGTCTAAAGCAGCATTCCAGCCCCTCTTTGGCCCCTCTGACCCACTTTGCTTTATTTTTGGAAGCTCTTGATGGCTGGGGTCCCATCTTTCCTGAAGCCTTTAGCTTCCACCAGCCCAGCCCCTGCACAGGGTCCGGGGCTGAGCTCTAATCTAATCTGGGGAATGTGGCACCGAGACTCTCCCTCTCTGCAGCCTTTCCCAGCTGCCTCCCAGCTCCTTGTAGGGCAGTGCCTGGAACAGCCACGATCCCCCCTGCAGCGTCTGCCGGCGCCAAATTATAAAAGGGCAGCGCGGAGCTGCTGTCAATCCAGCGGTGCAGGGTGGCATGGGGGGCTTTGGTCACTTGTGCCGGGTGTTTCTGAGTGACCCCAGTTCCCCCAACGTGTGCATGTGTGTCCAGGGCTGTGGGAGCTCGGGATTAGTGGCTGAGGCCAGCCAGGGAAGGTTTTTTCCATCAGCTTGTTCTGAGCCAGACGCAGGGCACGGAGTGCCAGGAGGGGCTGGGGCTCACAGGAGGGGCTCCCAGCAGACTCAGGTTACCCCAAATCAAGCTCTTGCCAGCACCATTTTTATCAAGGTTTCCCTCCACCTGCCTCACTCCCCAGTGATTTAATATTTTATTTTGGTGGGTCTGAATTTGTTCACAGAATCCTAGAATCACTGAGGATGGAAAATCCCTCCAGGATTGAGTCCCCCCTGTGCCCCATCCCCACCTTGTCCCTCCGCCCAGGGCACTGAGTGCCACGGCCAGGCCTTCCTTGGACACCTCCAGGAGTGGGGACTCCAAACCTCCCTGGGCAGCCCCTGCCAAGGCCTGACCACCCTTTCCACAGAAATTCTTCCTGATGTCCAACCTGACCCTCCCCTGGCACATCTTGAGACTATTCCCTCTCCTCCTGTCCCTGTTCCCTGGGAGCAGAGCCCGACCCCCCCCAGCTCCCCCCTCCTGTCAGGGATTGCAGAGCCAGAAGGTCCCCCCTGAGCCTCCTTTTCTCCAGGCTGAGCCCCCTCACGGCAGGAGTTCCAAAGTTAACCTGGCTGTTCCCTGTCCTGAGCACACACACTGCCTGGCAAAGGCTTTACCAGGAAAAGGTGGCTTTTGTGGCATTCTTGGGCTGGTGGAACATTTTTGGATAGATGGGAGAGTGAAACCAGAGCCTGGGTGTGTGAGTCATGGCTCAGCCGTGCTCTCTATTCCGAGGGGACAGCTGGTGGCACTAACAAAACGTCTCCTGGAGACATTGTCTGGCAGCAGTCCCCCTCCTGCTTTTTCCAGCTGTAACTACCGCTACGTGATAAATAAATAAACACTGACAGTGATGTGCAGGGGCAGCTTTCCCTCCCTCCTTCCTTCCTTCCTGGAAGGAAGCCCCTGGGGGCTCTCACCTGGGGGCTCTCCCTCTCCTCCCGCTGCAGGACCACCAAGCCAGGGTTTAACAGAAGGGGCTGGAAACACTCGTGTCCCACAGGTTTGACCCAAGGGCTGGTGGAAGGTGTTACACCAGGCTGAGGAGAGTCCTGGGGCAGGGCCAAGTGGTGCTCTCAGCTCTGTACCTGCCTTATCCTCACAGCCAAACCCGGGCTCTCCGTCCCCAGCCCTCACACCCCCCTGTGACACGAGGAGCCTTGGCAGGCACTGCTGCCTCCCCAATTAATTCAAAGCCCAACTGGGAGTTAATGACAGGTCCCAGCAGCACAGCCGGGCTGCTGCTGCGGGCTCCTGGGAGCAGGTCAGCGCCAGCCCTGCGGGTGCTCAGAGCACAGGAATTTATGTCCTGCAGCACCCGCGAGGAGGGAGGGCCAGCGGAGGGCACTGCTTCACCTGCACAAGGCAGCAAACCCTCGCTGGCATCGACTGGATGTTTTAACACGGCTCCAGACATCAGCAAATCAATTAAAGTCCCGTCCTGCTGCAACCAGAGTGTTTTCTGGAACAGCTGGTGAATTATTGAATGAGACAGGGCTTGGGAAATGAGGCTGGGCTGAGAGGCAGGAAGGTGTTGTTTATGCACAGTCTGGCGGATGCAGCAGCCAGGGAGGTGATCACTGAGATCGAGTGTAACCATCAGTGGCTGAAGTGTGGCTGAAGTTTGTGGGGAGGGTCCGAAGTGGCTGGAGTTTGACGGGAGGGTCATCACCAGACAAGGTGACCTGAGAGGTGGCTCTTGGCTCCAGATGCCGTGACTCCAGGAGAGCTGTCCTTTGTCCTGTGGCCTCTGTGGCCTTTATCTGACCCACCTGGGAGTCACGGAGACCCTGACACGTTCCTTCATGCATTCCATCAGCTAATCTGGGGGGCTGGACTAACACAGACTTGGACAGGGCTTGGAGCAGCCTGCTCTGGTGGAAGGTGTCCCTGCCCACGGCAGGGGGTGGGACTGGATGGCCTTCAAGGCCCCTTCCAGCCCAAAGCATTCCATGATCCTGTGACAGCAGGGCCCCTCGAGGCCCTCCAAGGCAGGGGCTGGGTTGGGTCTGCTCTGCACAGTCTGGGTAAGAAATTCTCCAGGTGACTTTGAAATGCCGTTAAAGTTAGTTTTATGCAAAGGGGTTTAGCGTATCTGTTTAAACAGCAAACACACCAAACGATGCTCTAAATATTAATACGAGAGGGTGTTTCACTGAATTTAATTTTGCCAATTGATTTCAAGCTCTTCTGGATATCACGTGGAGGAGCATTTGCTATTTTTGGTGCCTTCAGGAAAAGGCAAGAGGCAAAGAGAGGCTCCTGCTGCACTTACAGGTGGGATGGGAGGAGGAACTGGAATGAAAACAAGAGTAAGTCAGCCAGTCCCAGCAGCTGGGAAAGTGGGGAGGAGAAACATGGGGAATATCCATTAATCTTAGTTCCAGTTTTCCGTTACCTGCAGAAAAACATGGGAAGAAGGGGAACTAGGATTAATTTATGAAAGCTGATCAAATATGAGTCCATCTAAGTTCCATTTAAGTGGAAATGTTATTAAAATGTTACAGGTCTGAGCCAGATCTAGAGTCACCAATTTAAATGTGATTTAAATAATTCTCTTCCCTTTCCCAAAGCAGATAAAGGCTGGTTTAATCCCTCCCGGCCTCACTAGATGGCCCTGCTCATCCCTGTTCCTCTGGCTGTGCTGTGTTCCCTGGGCAGGGGCGGGCAGAGCGCCCTTAAATCAGCCTTAACTCCAGGAATGGAACCTGCAGCCAGACAGCGGCTCCCTCTGGGGGAGAAATCACCTCTGTTTGCCTGTCCTTTGCCACGGGACTCTCTGCAAGACACAGATGCTGTAAATAAGCCCTGAAATACATAGGATTTCTTTTTTCTTTCCTTTTTCTTCAGTAGCTTTTGATCTCCCCAGTCCTGCTGGCACTGCTTGTGCTTTAGGGTCCTGCCCCTGCTCACAACCTCAGCTGGGCCACGGCCTGTTCTGGTGCAGCTTTTACTGAGGAGATCACAGCCATGTGCTTGCAGCAGCCCTGGGTAAAGGCAGGAAGGGAAAACTAAGGAATGGGATCAAAATAACACAACTGCATTGATTTATTCTCCAAAAAGTAGTGGCTTGGTTTTATTAAAAGCAAATACAATTTATGTTACAGCCCCAGCTAAGCCCTTCCACCCCCCACCCTTCAGGTCCCCCCACGCACCCCAATCTACAGGCAGCTGCCAGGAAGATCCTCGTGCCCCTTCTCTTTACACATGGTGCTTTTAGCAATCAAAAATAATAGTAAATACTCTCTGCAGATAACAAGAGCTCAGGTTCAGGTCTGTCAAGGGCCAGGATAAGGGATGGACAGGGGCGAGTCCGTGCACCCCTTGTGCCTGACTCTGTCCTGGCGTGGTCCCATTGCTCTGGAAATCCTTGTGTTTTAACCTTCCCTGATTAATAATATTCAGGAGT